CCCCCCAAAATGGGTCTGGGGGGTCAAAGGGGCTCTGGGGACCCCCAAAATGGGGCTGGGGGCGCCCGAGGAACCCCAAAATGAGTCTGGGGGGTCAAAGGGATTTTGGGGTTTGGGTCTGAGGGGTCAAAGGGGTCTTGGAGTTCCCAAAATGAGTCTGGGGTGGTTTAGGGACCCCCAGAATGAGTCTGGGGGCATCAGGACCCCCTGAATGGGCTCTGAGGGAGGGCTGGGACCCCCCCAGGATGTCCCAGCCCGAATTGGGTCTGGGGTCCCAGAGCCCCCCCCCGATCCCGAATTGGGTCTGGGGTCTCAGAGCCGCCCTGATACTGAATTGGGTCTGGGGTCCCAGAGCCCCCTGATCCCGAATTGGGTCTGGGGTCTCAGACCCTCCCACCCCTCAGAATCAGGTCTGGGGTCTCAGAGCCCCCCAATCCCGAATTGGGTCTGGGGTCTCAGACCCTCCCACCCCTCAGAATCAGGTCTGGGGTCCCAGAGCCCCCCCAATCCCGAATTGGGTCTGGGGTCTCAGACCCTCCCACCCCTCAGAATTGGGTCTGGGGTCCCAGAGCCCCCCGATCCCGATTTGGGTCTGGGGTCCCAGAGCCCCCCGATCCCGAATTGGGTCTGGGGTCCCAGAGCCCCCCAATCCCAAATCAGGTCTGGGGTCCCAGAGCCCCCCAATCCCAAATCAGGTCTGGGGTCCCAGAGCCCCCCGATCCCAAATTGGGTCTGGGGTCTCAGACCCTCCCACCCCTCAGAATCAGGTCTGGGGTCCCAGAGCCCCCCAATCCCAAATCAGGTCTGAGGTCCCAGAGCCGCCCCGATCCCGAATTGGGTCTGGGGTCCCAGAGCCCCCCAATCCCAAATCAGGTCTGGGGTCCCAGAGCCCCCCGATCCCGAATTGGGTCTGGGGTCTCAGACCCTCCCACCCCTCAGAATTGGGTCTGGGGTCCCAGAGCCCCCCGATCCCGAATCGGGTCTGGGGTCTCAGAGCCGCCGCAGCGCCCGTTTCTTGTCGCCGCCCGCCCCTTTCTTCTTGGGGGCGGGCTTGCGGTCGCCGGCGTGTTTCTTGGGGAGGGGTCCGTCGGGCGGGGCGGGCGGCGGCGCCGAGGGCCCGGGGGGCGGCCGGGGGTCCGGGCGGGGGTCCGGGCGGGGGTCCGGGCGGGGGTCCCGCGCGTGGATCTCGGTCAGCAGCCGCGCGCGGGCGGCGAAGCGCTCGAAGTCCTCGAGCAGCAGCCGCGCCGCCTCCTCGTTCAGCGCCGACTCGGGGTTGGGCTGGATCAGCAGGCACTTGATGGTCTGGGGGCGCCAAGGTGGGCAGGGGGCCGGGTAAGCCCCCTCCCCAAAACGGCCCAAAATCCGGGAAAGCCTGACATTGCTGCCCCAAAATGGCCCAAATTTGAGCCTTTCCCGCCCCAATTTAACCCCTGAAATTACTGAGCCCGCTGCGGCCGCACAGTGCTCCCCAGTATGTCCCAGTTCCCTCCCAGTTCCCTCCAGTCCCTCCCCAGTCCCTTCCAGTCTATCCCAGTTCCCTCCAGTTCCTCCCAGTCCCTTCCAGTCTATCCCAGTTCCCTCCCAGTCCCTCCCCAGTTCCCTCCAGTCCCTCCCCAGTTCCTCCCAGTCTATCCCAGTCCCTCCCAGTCCCCTCCAGTTCCTCCCAGTCTATCCCAGTCCCTCCCAGTCCCCTCCAGT